TTAACCCTTCTATCTGCAATCAAATTTTCATCTTCAAATTCGATCGAACATATCGATGTACAATCTACCTTCACGATGCCCTTAGAACTATGCCCTTCACGATGCCCATAGTAGAACTCAGTTAAACAATTCTGACAAAGCCTCTTTAATCGGTTTAGAAATCGTCCACTAAACCATTGCAAATCAAGAGCATTAGTGATTTATTCCTTGTGGTCGTTCAATGCCTGATTTCTGCAGTTTATTGACTTCAAGATGCAAACGCATAAATCTCACGTAACGTCTAGCTTCTTTTCTGAACACAAGGTAAAAACAACAAGAAAACAAAGAAAACCGTGTTTATTGTTAACAAGTAAGCTATACCCGATTTTTTTTGGGGGGGGGAGCACCATAAGAGGGTTTTTTGGCAGCCCTGTGTTCCACCTTGGCAAGGCTCTGGCTACGCCCCTGCCTACACCCGAAAGCAAGTCAAGTCGGCTACGCTGAATGATGATCAGTTCAATATCTGTTGGACCAATGCATACCTAAGTCAGGCAGCTTCGCGTAAACTTTTTTCTGCGGTAGTGTGGTGTGAGGGAAGATCATTCGGAAAGAGATATTGGTGCAGGTGTCCAGCATATGTTTTGCATATCAATTAGCGGTAACGCTGATCCAGAAACATGCAACAAAGCAGCCATGCGATCAATTCACAGTCAATCACGCGAGAGACAGCCGGGTCAGGGCAGCGGCCGCCGACAGCGGACAGAAGCTGGTCCCAGATATAGCATATATGACAGAGTGTTCATTCTCTGGCTTGGTTTTGAAATGAGAGTTTCCAGTTTCATGCCCTTTTCACGTTGTTGTTGGCAGTTTCAAGCTTCCGATATTGTCTGTGCCTGAAATGCTGCCACAGGTGTTATTTCTTAAAGAGCAGCCAGCGAAATGACGGCGCGTGAAAAATCTATCGTATTGTGAGTCATTGATTCACTTCCAAAATTCTCACCAGCCTATGTCCAGGCGGTATTTTGGCATCTACGCTGCGGGGGTAAATGCCTCCTCAATGACCCAAAATGCCTACCCGCTCACAGAACTCCGCCTTCTCCGGAAAGACAATGTTAAAATGAACAAATGGTGTTGTGAAGCTGGATAGCCTTCTTTGCCTAATGACGTAGATGAGCAGGGGCGGATCCAAAGGGGGTGGGGAGCACTGGGCCATCCCCATCTCTTGGGTCCAGAAGGGGCCCATTGGCTACGGGGGCCCATAGCCGGCCAAACAGGTGCAGTTTTTTAAACACAGAACGCAACAGAACTGGATATCTCTGGATTTCAAGACGGCCAAGAACAGTTGTAAGCGAAAATGAAGGGCCTATGAGAAGTCAAAAAATCATTTAAAGATTGGGAAAGTCGTGAACTGGAAATTTTAAGCCTCCTTACAATGTCTAGGGGCCCAATGCTGTTTCTGGGACACACATGTGCTCACTTGGAGGATTTCCATACTTGAGGAGCATTCCACGTTGCCCTTTGTTTCTTCGCATTTGCTCGGGTGGCCCTGCGCTGTTGTTGGGGCCCTTCCTGCTAGTGTGCCCGGGCACTCTTGCCAATCACGATCCCTTCCATGTGTTCTTTCCATTCGCCAGGAAGGCTCTTTTAATTCGCCAGGCGCTTTTAATTCTCTGGCACTTGCGTAGGGCTCTGCACTCTTGTTAGGGGCCCACCTGATGGCATGCTTGGGCACACCAGTCGTTCGGAGACCCTTCACACTTGGCCTTGGGTGCTTCTTTTCTTAATGGGGGGGGGGGGGGCTACACTTTTGGAGGGGGCCTATCTGATAATCTGATGGGGCACATTCAGTAGTTCGGAGGCCCTCTACATTGGGCCTTGGGCATGTGCTATTTGAACGGGGCCCTACGCACTTGTCGGGGGCCCCCTCTGTTCGCCTCTGCGGCCACGTTGGATTGCTCTGGGGACCCTGCGCATTGGTTCTTGGTGCTCGAGCTTAGGGCCCTCTGCTCCCATCGGGGTCATCTGGTAACCTGTTAGGGTACACTCCATCTTTCGGAGGCCCTCGCACCAGGTTTTAGGTCCTTCTTTTTTGAATGGAGGACATTACACTCCTGTCCGGGCCCCTTCTGATAAGATGCTCGGGTCCATTCGATCGTGCGGGGCCTCTACGTGCGGTTTTGGGTACTTCCTTTTTGAATGGAGGGCCTCTCGCCTTTTTCGGAAGCCCTATCTGTTGACCTACTCTGGTGTACTCAATTATTCAAGGCCCTCTACATCGTGCCGTGGATATTTCATATTTGAACGGAAGGCCCTGCGCTGTTGCCGGGGTCCCATCTGTTAACATGCGTGGGCACACTCGAATATCTGGGGGTCCTCCACATTGTGTGCTTTGGGCACTTCGTATCTGAAAGGAGGCCCCTACGTACTTGTCGAGGACCCCATCTGTCCGCCGCTTCCACCACACTGCATTGTCCAGGGACCCTGCACATTGGGTCTTGGTGTGTGAATTTAGGGCCCTACACTCCTGTTTGGGCCACCTAATAATCTACTCGGGTGTACTCCATCTTTCGGGGCCCTCCGCACTGGATTTTGGGTACTTCTTATTTGAAAAGAGCTGTTCTACGTTCTCTTTGGGCCCTTTCTGATAAGCTGTTCGGACACATTCTATCATTCTGGGGCCGTTCACATAAGGTCTTCGGTTCTTTCCATTGGAATGGAAGGCCCTACGCTCTTGTTGGGAGCCCTATTTGTCAACCTACTCTGGCACACTCGATAGTTCAGGGGCGTTGTTTCAAGTTCTCTTGTGTCTTGCAGGGTGTCTTGACCTGTACGTGAACTCACTTAGGTCAAAGTGTGAGCCTCCTTGGACATAACCTTTCGGCCAAATAACGTCAAACAAGTTCAAATTCTAGGTTGGTTACCAAAGTGCCTCCAGAACTGTTTCTAAGCAAAAGGTGAAAGGCCCATTTGAGGTCATTGACCTTGTTTGAGTTTTTGAAGGTATTAGTGACCAAAATCATACAACACTGCTCTGAGTTTTGCATTGGAATCAACGACAAATGTTACGCTAGGCAGTATGTTGATAACAACAAATGTCGATCCGGGTCATCTTAGGTCCATGACCTTTTCTGACATCTAAGAAGTCAATGGAAAATGCATATTGCGGTTCCTGCTGTCAATAAATTCGAAATGGGCACCACAAACTATCCCATACAGTAAACCCTACAGCAATAAATCAGGTTGGTTTTGACTTTGGTCTGGCCTTCATACCTAACCATACGTCAACACAATTTGCTTATTCAATATTTGTAGTGCCTAAGAAAGCATCTCAGAAATGTATACCTTTTTTCAAACACTCCGTTACTGTATCAGATTGAACGATTCTTTACAAAATGCCTTCGATAAAACCACGGCCTGACTTTGACCTGCCAAAGGTCAGCAACCTTACAAGGCATATCTAATTGTTCATGAGAAACGATCCGCTATTCAATTGTCTACAACTACGCAAAATCTGGCGCCGCTACGCCGCACCGTTCGGAAACCATTCTGGAAAAAACTTTGGGGGTGTCAATTTGACCCCACACCCGAGCGCGTGTTAAACGTTCGCGTAGGATTTCGCACCAAAGAAATCTCCCTGGCGACGCTCTACTTCAGTGGAGCTAAGCTCAGCTCAGTGGAGCAGTGGAGCGGGTACTTCTACCCTCCGTAGGTGACGTCGGCCAAGGAGAGGCACGCTAAAGGCACGCAAACAGGTGCCTTTATAAAACGGTGATGCAATCTGCGAGGTCTCCATCTATGATTTCTGTGGCTATGCAAATAAGGTTTAAAAGGATGTGAAGTGCTTATAAATACAAACACACACACACACACTGGTGTGTGTATGTTATATATATATATATATATATATATATATATATATATATATATATATATATATATATAGATGATATATCTAGTAGATAACCAAACATAAGGCATGAAATCCAAGAAAATCTTCGACCTGCACCCTAATGATGACTCCCAGCAATCTGCCCCCCCCCCAAACCTTTTAGGAAATCGATACTCATGCTTTTAAGTGACCTTTTTTCATCATGTTTCATGCTTCGTTCAATGTATTCAATGTGGAACATTTCCTTTAAGAACGAAATCCCTGAGCGGAAATACGGGCACTACGCTGCGGCAGGCAACCTGGAGCATTTACTGAACTCCTAAGTGTCCAAAGTGCCCCTGGCCGGTCAGGGAGTCCATCGAGCAGCCAGGAGGGCTTTTGGGCGATGAAAGTGGTCAAAGTGGTCAGTGGTCCCAGTGGTCAAAAATGCGCTGAGAGGTTAAGAAGACCCTAAGTGTCCATAGGGTTCAAAAGATGACTAAATCCCTCCGGCGAAGAAGCCCTCAATAGCCGAAGAAGCGCTTAGTTGACGAAAAGGACCCACTGCAGTCAGCCCAGGTCAGGACAGGCTACCCCAGTCAGCTGTCAATAAAAGCAAAAGTCTTTATTCTGCTAATCGAAAGACATGTCATACAACAGCTGCCACCAACAAGTAAAGTGTACTCATAACTAATCTGTTAAAAATTATGCCATGTTTGGGGACTCCTGCTTGTTGAATATAACCGAAGCCCACCATAATGCTCTTAAAAATCTATGCAAAAAGGATGAAAAGCGATCCGTAGCAGAGTAAGGTTGCATATGTCATAGTTACGGTGTCCGTGTTCTCTTATTGCCAAGAAACCAGCCTATTCAAAGCCGTCTTTCATTCATCCCAGAACACATCGCAACAATTTAGCAGTATATTTGGCATGATCATATACATTGTTACAAATATTGCAGGGCATGGTTCCATGTCAGGTACACAAAGCCCGAAGTCGTTCTTTTGTAAAACGGCGCTACCAGTAGCACCTGGTACCTGCCAGTTACCAACGGTAAATGTAGACACACAGAACGTAATCAGCGGGACATATCAAAGCACACAGCTTGACAAGATATCACAGCTATGAAAGCAATAGCCAATTACCACCTAAGGCATGACAATGCACACATTTCAAACCTCAACAATTGACTTAATATCAATGCTTAGCTATCACACAGCCCAAAATTCCATGCAGAGTACGAAATCAGTCGTCACCTACCAATCATTTGATACATCTAAATGTACATATGGCACACGCACACACTTCTAAAGCTGGCATCACATACACAACCGATGGCACAGAATGCTATCACATACAAAAGAAGGCACAGCAAACCATGACAATGTACTTGCGACCCTGAGTGCGTAGGATAACCGGCGCCAATGCAGCACGAGCAATCAAACAAAAAGACCACGGACTGGTTGCATGCCAAACACCTACACGGGCATACACGCATATGTACAGCCATACAGAGTACCTGAGGCAGCTGAGGTATTCAGTAACACCAGTGAGCTATTCTTCACAGCCCAAACATAGCCATAAGTGGTTCAACGGATCACCGTCAGCGGTCACAGCTCAACCATCAGTGTCCTCATCATCTGAGTTCTCGGGGAGGATCGCTGGCCAAACGCCCATCCACACTGTAGGGGGTGACGGTCTCCATTCCTCCTCTTCATCTCCAACGTCGTCCTCCCATTCGCTGTCGCTGCCATCTGTCGAAGACTCGACGAAGCTCGCTTTCGTCTCATGCTCACACAGCGTCCCCGGGAAGCGAATAGCCAGCGGAGCGATCGGCGCATACCGTTCCCCGTCGAACCGGGTGAAGAAGCGACCCACTTCCTGATGGCTGATTGGCTGGGGATCCGGGGACAGCTGGAGCTCCTCTGCAATGATCCAAACACCTCTGTTAGATGCAGACACAAGTGACGCTCTACACCAGAATTGTTGTTGATTGGTGTTTTCGGGCGCGCCGACTGCAGCGGTCATTTGTCGCCCATTGACCTACGTCAAAATGGGAGCAAGACATCTCATCAATCTGCTGTGGTTTGGGGACGACCTACGAAAACTTCTGAGTAGCAGCTTTGGGCGTGAATAGCACTATATAGCGCATTTCCCAGTATGGTTGTGTAGTGAAGATGCATTTGAAATTATGACATTATGATGACTAAAAATTATAAAAGATGTTGAAAAACCTACATCAGGGTATCACACATGTCAGACTCATATAGGAGCTTCGTAGTAAACATAAAGTATGTCCAATGCAGCCAAAACAAAATGTTTATGGCACCCTATCCATATTTCAAATACCAGGAGCAGGAGGGGTCCATGTAAAAACTCCAATACAGTGAAGAACACTTTGAAGAGCTTGCTTACCCTCAGCCATGTATCCGAACCGGTCAACCTCCAGCAGCAAGCTGTAGAAGGGTTGCTTGTGTCCGCGCTGAAGCCCGGAGCAGGCGCGACTATTTGCCGTCCAGTCCTGAAAACAACACCACCGAGTCAGCACAATAACTCACACCGCACGGCTGTCGTCAGTGTTGAGGGCGAGGCGGCACCGTGGGACTTCGCAGGAATACTAGTTAAGAGCTCGCATGCATCTAGCGACAACTGTAACAAATTGTTACATCTAAGTACCTATCACTGATGACTGCTTCTTCGATCAAGCAAGGGTGAAATCCATGATAGCAGAATGGGACCACTGTAACATACCTGTATGGGACCGCAATGGATATTTGCCACACAGCGAGGGCATACAATGAAAACGAAGCAAAGGCAGACAGGACATTGCAAAATTACAGTTGACCTCGGCAGATACACAAAACAACGAAATATTACATACATCCCATATCCTACATTTGAGAAAAAATTTGATGGTTGTGAAGTTCGTATGGCACAATGAAACCATCATTATGCATGTGGTGATTGGCTTACTGTGAGAGAAGTAACAACATTACGAAAAAGGTTCTTTGAATCCTCAGAAAATAACACTTCACTACACCAATTCTCAACACAATGGGACAAATGAGCTCAGGCAGGGTCTGCCATGTACGACAGTTCCACTGGTGTCGCTCCTACCTGTGAGATCTCGTAGTATGGTGAGCAGCCGTACACCACAGCCAGGCACCCGTCGCCGTACGTGACGACGTCACCCACACCAAACTGCCTCCGGTAGTCGCCCACTGCTCGGCCAGCCGCGCGGAGGTCCGCCTGAAACACGGATAAAGACAATGAGGGTATTGCACACAACACTACGAGATAATGGGACATCAGGATTTAAAATGGTCGTTGGGACGCGGGAAATAACTGAGAAGACAATGACCTGAGAAGGCAAAAACGAACATCAGTACGCCCAGAAACTAGCAACATGGGAAAATAGCACATCCATAAATGCTCGAACAAGCGCCATGTAGATTACTTATGAGGTGAGGACAACTCACTGCAAACTAACTGAGAACGTTACTAACCGAGAGGTTAATAATACATTCCAAAGATCAGAAACAGGTTGACAATATAATGGTGCACAAATGGTCACAAAGGGCCATAGCAGGAACGAATCCATCGTCACATGTCTGCAGGAAATTGCACAACAAATGACAGAAAGTAAATGGAAGAAAACAACCGTACAGAAATGAATTTATACGAAATGAATAAACCTGCATCACACCTTTACAATGCTTATGATGCTTATGCATGGGGTTAAACCTGTTTCACATAGCTATTTAACCCTACCAAATAGAGATACAGCCAACTTATAAGTGTGCAGGCATATCATTATACATAACACCACACCATGACACTCAACTGCGTAACTGACAGGCGCACAAACCTGTTTCCACCTCCCACACATCAGCACATGCACATGAACGACTCAGCATAGAATTAAGAGAAGCTATACGATTAACTCCCTACATTGTCAATTTGATCAAATCCAGTGCATTCTTACCAATTCCTGCACTTCAGCCTCCTGTTCGTCTAGGGAGCGCACCAGCCGCTTGTACATCCTCTTGAAGTGCTTCATGAGCGCTTCCAGGCCACGCCTTTCGTTCTCAGCCACAAGCGAGCCATTAGTCTCGACGAATTGCTGCAGAGAGAGAAAAAAACAGTGAAAATAAGGTAGCACTAATTATTCCTCATTACATTACCATTTCCTTTTCAACACCACCATGGGCGTAACGCGCAGCCTTCGAGGACACGCCATTTACGAGCTGGAGAATTTTGTGAACCGAAGACGAGACCAGAACGTCACCTTGCATATTAAAAGTCACATGCGTATCTTACACATCCATCGTGCACATGCATCGCGCACATAATAGTGACCCAGACGCATCTTTCCAACAATTGTTGAAAACACATGCCCAGCTCTAGCGTCATCCAAGACCACTGACCTGCAACAGGCGGCGCGTGTACATGGGCCGGGCACGAGCCATCGTCGACATCAGGTCCACGATTGCGGCCGTGTTCGGACGGCAGTCGCTGCGGGCCCAGCACGCCAGCGTCTCCAACGAGACCAGGTCGAAGCCGGTCCCTGGCCGGCGGGCGTCCGGATGGACTGCGCCATTGATGAGACGATACAGCAGCTGCCAAAAAACAATACACTGCGTTAGACAAGGATTGGTATCACAATCACACCGCCGGACACTGGAGAGCGTACAGACACAAGGGCTCGTTACAAGCCGTCGCAAGACTGCTGGTTCTCATAGATTCACGAAAGAGCACAAAATCCTCAACCTGGGACTCCCGTGCGCCCAGTCTAAGAATGAGTCAGTCCCTGTTCAATTTGGTTTCTCTGCACAAATGAGTCATGCAAGAACTTTTTAAATAAAATGGCATACTTGTCAAATATAAACAAGTTCCATACGTAACAGGGCCTGTTGTCCAAGAATTTCAAAACATCCGATGCATTACGCACCCCTGCCCTGGGAAAGGGTTCCAGCATCTGGAGGTCCACTTCCCGGTGATCAGCATTCAGCTCCTCCAGCACCTGCTCCCAGGACAGCCGCATGCCGCGGCGGACAACGTCGATGAACAGGTACTCTTCACCGTCCCTGCCAGAGGAGATGCACGTCAGGCCACCACACACACTGTGTGAATTTCCACATGTGACACGTGAATAGGAATACGTCACTGTACAGCACAGATATTCGCAGTCACAAACAAACACGCATACAAGCACAGTGACAAACAAACAAGGCAAGACAAGTACAGTCAGTGCATGATTATGTTGAATTTACAGAAAACGACAACACACTGTGAATGAATGCGATTCAGTTTATGCGATAAGAATGTTGTGTTTAAAGCATGCTACTGTGATTATGAATGGATGAAAATCAAGATGTCAAACAAGACAAGATGATACATATTCTCAGCAACGGAGAAAATGTGATAAGGCTGATCACGCCGGCGATAATTCGGGTATTCTTGTCAGAAAACAGTTTGGAAAGTAATCAAGGCTCCACTGAAGGAAAGGAAGGTCATTAGCTAAATATGACATGTAACACAGTGCCATCACTTTTAATTGCTCACTTCACTTGAGTGCAGCACTGATCATGAATGACAAACACATTCCACTCCAACAAAATATGCAACGTTTGTACGTGATGACGAGTTGTGTACACGTAACAGGTGTTTTCCACTATTATGGTAGCAAATTTCAAGGTTTGGTATGATTATTACATTGCAAAGGATGACTTATAATCGTCGACACCTATTTATCTTTCAATTTATTTTAGCACAGAGCAAGTTTCTCATCAGCCTCCCACACGGAAGGAATCCAATCGCCCATGAGGCTTACATTTCAACCAATTAGCGACATTCCTTATTAACAAATATCACAATTTACTGCAGCACCCAAAACACCCTGGCTTGCATATACTGCCTATACATTACGCACACCTGCCTTACATTGAAAACCTGCCCAGACATTCAGGCATACATGCCAGAGCTTTGTACCAAGATGTAAGGAAGAACGCTAGAAGTTCGCCAAACATGTGTGACCACGGCAGTTACAAAACATTAGTTAATTGCCAACGTGATAATTAGGCGAATAATAAGATGAACATGCTCCGTATGCATGTGATCAAATCATCCACAGCCAAATTCTATAGTTGTCAAATTCTTTGGGAATCACGATATTCTTAAGCAACATAAACATGATGTGCATAACATCACTGATTCACATCACGTGATTAGCTCAAGGAAACATAGTTAAGTGCACAACTAATCACAGAAGTTCAAAATCTATGGCAATAAAATCGAAACCTATGACAAAAAAAATTCAAAAAATAGGCTATTAGATACCAATTGATAAAGCAGACCTGAAAAGACCTCCCAAAAACCCATGACCTGAACAACCAGTCTGTCCCAATGCCGTTGATAGTGCTAGAGGAACAGACTCATTTCCCACGCCCCCTTCGGCAATGCTTACGCTTTGTGCCAGCAGATCATCGAGCTGTGCGGTAACTGCACGTTGTGGAGATTGACGCCCAGCATGCCGGCTACAGAGGAGTACACTGTCCCCATTACAGTCTGCGTCCCGGATCCCGCAGAGTGGAGGTGGCGACGAAGATACATAACCTGAAAAGGAATGGCAAGCCATTGAATGCGTTGCGCTCCATGCAACCCAATCACCTACACATATTCAGAACGAAGAGCCCATCAGCCCATTCATTCATAAACGCAGCAATAGGCTCCAAAAGCACTGTTTACTGAGATGCACCAGCGCATAGCAAGCAAATGTAAACAACAATAAATTAAACCACACTGACCCAGCCAAAACAACACATGTTGGTGACAACCGCATGAGCAAGCGCTTAATCATGGTTATCATAGTCAATCATCACCGTCACCGTTCGAGATTGTGCACGCATCACAATAGCGTGTTCGGTGTTGCGCCATCTGAGAGGAGCACAGTAATACGCCTCAGGGCAAACGGACGGGAACGTATGGCTGACAGCATTGTTTTGCAAGTCACAGCCCACCATTGAGAACAACACGAAGAAAAACAGATCAGACATAGAAGTCTGCACATGTTCTGTACGTGACTTCACCCATTCAAACGTGCAAGGAACGAGGATTAATCTTCATTGCAATCCACTTACCAGCGAGCTCAGTTCGGAAGCCGATCCGTTCTCCGGTCCGCCCTCCTTCATCAGGGCCAGCTGGTCATACAGCACGACGTTCATCGCGTTCAGAAGCTTCAGCGTCTGGTCATCCGTCCACATCGTGGGTCCGAACGGGTTCTTCTTGCACGTAGTCCAGGCGGCGGCCGGGTGCTCGGGGAGCCGTCCACGCAGCTCATCCAACACCAAGCCGGCGATCTTGCTGTAGCAACTGCAGAGGCCACACCAGGTCAAGACTCGCACGTGCACATCCGAGTTCATCTTTGTTCTGGGGGAGGGGGGGGGGGGGGCAAGAGACAGGGATACGAACGTTAAAAAGCTAAGATGTAAGCAATGGGAGAGATGAGTGCCTTGTGTGCCATCGCCCAGACGGCGATATATAATATACGCGATCACGGCGATCACGCTGTTTGAACAGCACGGACAAATACCACATTCAGCACCAAAAAACAACAACAAGAAATTCGACCAAATCGCTTGTTAGAATCCATGTCAAATTCTGGTGACGCCTTTCTAGCAAAGCACAACACATCGTGGTATTTGGCTGGAGCAAGTAATAAAGGGAAAGGTGGATTCCATAACCGTAGACAACATCAGCCTGCAATCGAGTGTCATCCGCACGAATGAACACAGAAAAGGGACTTGACATATGCAAACTTGCACCCATTAGCATGACCTTCATACACACCAGAAACACAACCGAGCTGGCAGAATGTTTGCGCGCAAGGCCTAGGATTCCATATGGAAATCGAACGATTCGAAAAGAGATAAAAGACTCACGTATGGAGATTGGACTTTCGGTTGTCGGTTTGCTCCGGAACCATCCAGAGGCTCATCAGATAGAAGGCTTCGGGCACGTTCAGATGCTGCACTGGCCGCTGCATGTACTCCCGGAACATGGGCAGCAGCACGACGTCTCGCTGGATCTCACGGAACAGCATCCGCGCGTAGTAGCGCACGGACAGGTCATCATCCCTGCCAAAAAGCGGGTAGTGTTACACACGTGCCTCAGACGGCATTTTCTCGTTCCGAAGGCAAAGTGCGACGTCCGGGGCTTAGTTACAAGTTAATGAGTTTAACTGCTGGAGCGAATAGGCTGGATTGGTCTTTACATAAGCTACGTGATAACAGAACATACGATAAGTGCATGATGGTGATGGTGGATAAACCAGCCTGGAACGTGCGATATAGACAAGCTGGCACGGTGCGATGATCGACGTTAAGTCACGAGCAAGGCATGGCAGTGGCCCTTGGGAGTAAGAAATTGAGCCATTCCTGGTGGCGTCTCACAGACATATCCGAGATACAACTGTCATTTAAAACTGAGATGAAAAGGCGAGACCGTCGTCAAGGACAGCACGGTCCCTCACAAATTACCGCCGGCGTTCCCTACGACTCAATTATCGTTTGGAACGACAAGACGTTTCAGAAGCTTCGCAAATAACCAGCATGGCGTGCAAAGAAATCTACACTTCAGTAACTGGGTGATCTTCACCATATCCTTTAAAATTGTGAAGTGGCACGTGACGGGTGAAGTGAAGTAGATTCTACATGGCAGTGCTTCACATATGTGCATTGCAATTTATGCTTGGCCAATTTTATCGATCTAAGAAAACTGCCGAGACCACAGCACACCGATTATGTAATCCAACTTACGGACGGTGTTGGCGCGAGTAGATGACCTCCAGAAGGGCATCCCGGTTCAACAGGGTACCATGGACGGGCACCAGCTTGCGGAACTCCTCCATGGCGGGGTCCGGCAGGCAGTCGATTGTGTAGCATCTGTCAGCCATCTTGGCTAGGGCTGTACGCAGGTGATGGCCAGCCGAGGCGCGGAACCTCGCAGTGCGCCGCCAGCTGCATCCGCACCGCTCAAATACGCGCAGCAATGCAGGTTGGCACGAGGGCTGCACCAAGCGCGGGTACCTGCGAAAAAGGACAACGGCGTCGCCATTGAGGCGAAAAGGGGGTTCGGGAGGAGGTCTACTAGATGAAAGACGTGGCTTAACATCGCTTTTGTCTCAGAAAATCTCGGCCAAGGCACTGTGCGCAGTGAGGGTGATTAAATCAATATCATCTTCACAAGGAATATGCAAAGAGCAGAGAAGCATACAATCAAATAATGTTTTGCAAATTGCCAACCTCCCATACATTCGCCATGGCTAACACTGAAAAGCAAGTGAAAACAGGAATCTGACAAGGTGGGGGCATTGACCGAAATTAAAATCCTGAAATAGACTTGTGGTAGTATGCATGAATGCAACAGTTTGTAATATCATGAAGAAAGCAATGATAATGTTACTTCTATCAACATTATGCTGCATGAACCTGAGATAGTCTGGCCTCAGTCATCTAGATAACCTGACAGAGTGCCCCCCAGGATAGTGATAGATCAAATGCTTTGAGCATCCCACTAGCAGGTTGAATATGCTGACAAGCATTTCAGAGATGGAAATAGTGACTTGGAGGGAAACTCTGTGGATCAATACAATGAAGATTGAATAAAGAAGTGGTAGATGTCTTTGAAACATTGCAGCGCATGTAGACCCTCTCTGGAAATGGCGAGAAATAAGGAGCATGATTTTGAGCACCTTGCCATCAAGTATGACACCATATGACTTTCAATATGCCATAATACCACCAATGAGTTTGCAAACAGCTGACTCATTTTCAGCCCCAGTCTCCATGCACTGCAGCATTGGTTGACAGAAATTGTTAATGCAAAACTAGATAAACAGTCCTAGGGCATAATTTGGTGATATGAAAAATTAGAAAAAAAGTCAACACTAAAGACTTAAGAGCAGCAAACTACACTTATGGGTACATTGTTGCACCTGAACCTAGACTATGGAAAAGACAGTGAACAAGCTTTTTAAAACAATAAAACAAAGGCAAAATGTTATCCACTTGTTGAGTTGGAGTTGCACTTATTGCATCCATCAACATTCTCTACCCATTCACTGTTTCATCCATGTGACTGCTATTGGTTGCTGATAGTTCAGGTTTTGCATAAGGAAATAGTTAAGCATGATGCATGGAAAAAACAATGTCAAAAAATACTTTGCATCTTGTTGGAGTGACTACACCATGATGCAATGAAAAATGAATGAAAACTGGCCCAAATGACGTTGATGAGGAACGCCATAAGTGATGGCTATGACCAGGGGTGTCACTATCTCAGTCATTTGGTAATTTGTGCTTCACAACTAACTTATAGGCTGCACTGCATTTCCAGGCACTGCTTTTAAACACATGCACTGCACCTAGCGCACACAGCATGCAACACACCCAAACTTAGTGTTGTATGTGAATTGCACATTTGGTAAATGGAAAGCATGTTTCTTCATGATGGTGGCATTTGCCTGATGAAAAAATCATCCCGGGCAAATACAAGCTTGATATATCTTGTAAGAATTATCAATACAACATGTGTGACACTTTACCTCCCTTTGATTTGTATATGGTCTGACCTTCAATGTTTCTCTAACCTCACAAAAACTACACAATCTGAGAAATGTATACACAAATAAGTACAAAAAAATCACAAAGTCAATTTACATACATTTATACCTACTATGCAGTGTCAGTTAAGTTTGCATAAAAAGGATGTACTGCTCACAACTGCTGGTACAGATACTGATGTAGCTGACATCCCTTCAAGCCACAATTATGGATGCATATGCATATACACATACATCAAACTGATGTACTTTCATGTAATTGTTCTTGTTGTGTTCCATCTGGTAATAATTATAACTGCCATTGACTTGTGAGCTGTAGGAGTACCCCAAATCTTCAGTGTTGGAAAGTTAACATTCTCAGCAAAATTACACCTTAACAAGACCACTCACCTGGACTTAAATCCGAATTTCCATACTTTTTCTGAGGTATGGACATCGTGAAGCCTCCTGCATACTTGTGATACAGATACAAGGTCTTCTATACTCAGGAAACACAAGACATGTTCCAAAATTTCAGTTGGCAGGGAAAGCAGAGATTTCTCAACATCCTTGTCTTCGCTGACCAGATGCATCACTTTCTCCTCATTCGAGAACTCCATCGCATCCATCAGCAGCATTCAACAATCACGTGCACTGTTTCAGATATCGAAAGTAGTCACCAAACTCAGCACATTCAGCTTTGCACGGATGAACGTGTTGAATACAAACACGCGTCGGAGCGCCGGAATGGAAACGGAAGTCAAATGCGGCGGTTGGCGGTTAGAGATCTGCGGCACGTTGCGGACGAGGCCGTTCATACCTTCCAATGAAAAGCGGTGATGTTAAACTGACGCGGCGTGGCTGAACCGGATGCAAATGTTCATGCGCGCTGGAACGGCACTCAGAGTCTCAATTCTATTTTAGTTGGAACGGGGAAAGGAACTGTAGCCAAGGGAGTTATTTCATAGACTTTTACGTGGCCTAAGCCCAGCAATGCTGA